TTCAAACCCCCATTGTTCAAGGGTCACCTGGCAGTCGGGAATCTGCCCACAGGGAGGCCCAACTAAAGTTAAATGAGGGTTTTCTACTACAATGGCAGTAAGTGCCCCTGACCCCCAAATTGTTCAAGGGTCAACTGTACATGTGTGACATAGCTCAAGTAAGGGAAGAGACGTGAGAGGGTTTGGAAGAAAGCATATGGCACTCCGCAAACACACGAAACTATTTCAAGAGACGTAGCACTTGGCACCCAGTTGGGACTCAATAAATGCCTGTGTGATGGATGCAGGCAGCTGTGAAACGCTTAGCTTCAGTTAAGCACTTCTCACACCCTCCAACCCACTGTCCCGATACACACACCCTTTGGGAGCTCAACTCAGCAGTTATTCAGTGAGGTGGGGCAGGATGAGAGGGATCCAGGGCTGGGTGGGGCTGCCAGAGCTGGTGAGGACACTGTGCCCCCCAAACCACAGCACCAGGGTAACGACATTCTCTAGTTACCAATTCCCTGTTCCAGTGGTTCCCAACCAGGAACTGAGATCTGTGAGCCCTCAAAAGCAGGTCCTGTTGAAGTGGGAACCCCAAGAGGGCACTGGGCAGCCAGTCCTGGTTACCAAAAGGGTTGGTGAGGAGCAAGAAAAGAAGGCGGTTCCACAAGGCCTCTTCCCAAAATACACTAGACACTCCCTCCCTCACCCTACTCCTACCCCACCCACAGCCACACTGCGGAACACCCTTCCCTAGCCCCCCTCCCACTCCCTAAAAACTCCAGGCCTGGGACCCCAGCCTTTGCCAAATGTCTGTGCCACCCACTGGTTCCGCCCATGCCTGCTGCTCTCCCGGTCCACTGGCCTCCATCCAGCTGCTCTGGACCAAACAGAGCCTTGTAGGGTAAGAAAGTTTGCTTCCTCCACAAGAGCTGAGTCTGGACCCACGTGCCTGCCCCTCAAGCCCTGGAGCCTGGAGCCAGTCTGACTTTCAGGAGCTATTCTCTGGGTGCACACCCTAGCTCCCCGGGGTGGAGAGGCACAGAGATGCTGTGACATCTGGGAAATATGGGGGGTTGGGGGCTGCGGGCCTGGCAAGGGCAGGGAGGAGACTCCAAGGCATAAACAGTATGAAGAAAGGAAAGAAACGGGAAAGACAGCTTCCCAAAGCTTCGAGGGAACCTGAGCTCCCGTGCACAACAGCATCACTTAATAATGCTAACAACTAGCATTTGTCTATAGCTTTACAGTTCATAAAGCTTGTTCACACAGTTGCTTTCTTTCTTGCGAATAGTATAATTGTCTCTGGTTTACAAATGAGGAAACTGAAA